GGTGGGGGGGGGAGGGGAGGAGGAGGAGGAGGAGAGGAGGAGGAGGAGGAGGAGGAGGCGTAGGGAGGAGGAGAGGAGGGAGGAGGAGGGGGGATGAGGAGAAGATGAGGAGGATGAGGAGGAGGAGGATGAGGAAGAGAAGTATGAGGAGGAGGAGGAAGAGGAGGTGGATGACGAGAACCGTATAAGAATGATAAGCAGGAGGAGGATGATGAGGCTGATGATGCTGGGGAGGAGGTGTAGGAGGAGGGGATGGGGAGGATGATGATGATGATGAGGAGGAGGAGGCGGATGAGGCGGGAGAGAAGGAGGAACCTTCGGGGGAGAAAGAGGCGGCGGAGGAGAAGACGGAGGAGAAGGAGGAGGATGATGATGAGGAGAAGGAGGGGAAGACGGAGTATGAGGATGAGGAGGTGGAGGAGGAGGATGTGAAGGAGGAGGAGGAGGATGAAGAGGAGGATGAGGGGGAGTAGGAGGAGGAGGATGGGGTGGAGGAGGCGGCGGCGGCGGAGGATGAGGCGGATGCGGAGGAGGATTAGGAGGAGGAGGATGAGGAGGAGGACGAGGAGGAGGGCGAGGAGGAGGAAGAGAACGATGGGGTGAAGGAGGATGAGGAGGAGGAGGAGGAGGAGGAGGAGTTGGAGGAAGTGGTTGAGGAGTGGGGGGAGGACGAGGAGGAGGACGAGGAGGACGAGGAGGAGGAGGAGGAGGAGGAGGAGGAGGAGGAGGGGTGGGGGAGGGGGTGGCTGAGGAGGACGAGAAGGAGGAGGAGGATAAGGCGGAGGAGGACTTGGAGGAGGAGGAAGAGGAGGACGAGTTGGGGAAGAAGGAGGAGGAAGAGGAGAAGGAGGAGCAGGAGGAGGAGGACACTCAGGGAGGAGATGGCGGCGGCGAGACGGTCTCGTGCCCAATGGTTAATTCAATCGAGCTTAAATCACAATTCGATGGAATTCTGGACTTTGCGACCTACCGTGCGCAAACAGACTCTGCGATAGGATGGCCCCACGACGGAAGCCCCGAGTTGCCCTCTCACAACCACAACCATCGAGCACGGACGACGAATCACACATCGGGACAGGCGAGCACCTTGAGACCCCCTCAGGCCTATCGAGGACACCCGCGGGTCGCCAAGCTCACCAGCTCTTTGAAGTCAAGGCTTAGAGGAGCAGACGGCGGACGAGGATGAAGAGTGTTACAGACAGGAGGAGGGGGGATAGCGGCGGCGCAACGGGGAGCTTCCCCTTGCTCGCGGCTCACGCCCCCCCCGAGCCTCACGCGGGGGACGATCCGCGCGGAGGAGAGAGGAGGAATGAACGAGCGAGGAGGCGGTCATTCTTCGTCGTTGTCGTCGTTGGCCTCGCTTGTTGCAGGAGAACCTCGGTGTCTTCGGGGGCGAGGTCCCGCAGGGCATTGGCGCCCCCGACGACCCCGACTCCGCCAGCAGGCCACGGAGTCCACGCTCCCGCCGTCTCCATCGGAGTCGTCGTCGGGGTCGTCGTCGTGGTCGTCGTTGTGGTCGTCATCGTGGTCGTCGTCGTCGTCGTCTGTTTCGTCGTTGTCGTCTTTCTCGTCGGCGTCGTTGTCGTCGTCGTTTTCGTTGGCGTCGATTGCGTCGTCGATGCCATCGTCTTCGTAGATGTCGTCGTGACGGGTGGGTGGGCGGTTCGCTCCAGGCAGTGCGTCTGGACCGAGGGGCAGACAGGCATGACGAGGAGGGGTGGCGGAGGAGCTCCTCCACCTTCTCCCTCACCATTGCCCGTGGGATGCGCGAGCACGGCGAGTGAGGCGGGACGTCCAAGGGAAGCCATGGGATCTCAAGCAAACCAGAAGAGGCCGAGGGAGGTCATGCAACAACGCCCGGCCACGGACTACAGGGCCAGTTCTTCAGAACCTCAGGAAGAGACTACGTAAATGCAAGCATTGTTTGGGGGAAGTAACGTAGCTTTGCACCTCCACCACCTCCGCCACCTTCTCCTTCCCACAGGGTGGAGAGGAGCAGAGGAGGAGAAGAATGATTGCGAGGCCGTGCCTAGAGGGCAGGCTGCTCCAGCCTGAGTCCCAAACAAAAGCGGTGGTCAGAGGAATACCGTCTGACGGGGACGGAGATGTCGAGGAGGAGGAAGAGGAGGACGGCGACGACGACGACGGAGAAGACGAGGGGGAGGAAGAACAGGTGGAGCTGGATGAGGACGAGGATGTGGAGGATGAGGATGGGGATTTCGAGGAGAGGGAGTCCGAGCGGGAGTCGAAGAAGGAGGAGGATGAGGAGGGTGTGGAGTTTGATGAGGAGTACCAGGAGGATGAGGATTTCGAGGACGAGGAGAAGAGGCGGACCAGAGTGAAGCCAATCTGTGTTGACGATGGTGTTGACGATGCTTCAATACACACTCTCGCTCTCTCGTTCCAAGTCCCCTCCTCATCAAGTCCCCTTCTCCCCAGTCCCCATGAGCAGTTTTTTTCCCAGCGCGAAGTGCCCTCCCTTGAAAGACAAGCGTCCCATCGGAGATACACGCCATCCCCCTCCGTCGGTGGGGGGCACGCGCTGCATGCTATGGGAGGTGTGCTTTATATTTGCTTGTGTGTAGGGGTGGGGGTGGGGCTTTCTTGTTTCTTACGCTGCGCACCTCCTCTTGCCGCCACTCTCCTCCTCTCCCCCTCTCCCCTCCCCCCCCCGCCCTCGCAGCCCACCGCGAGTGACCTATGAACGGATCCCTGGTCCCCCCGCGGCCCAGCTGCGCACTCGCTCCCACTCGACTGTCGCCGCCGCCCGCGTGGCCGCAACGCCAGAAGAGTGCGAGGGGGTAGTGGTGTGCAAAGAAGGGGGAGGAGAGGAGAGATGGCAGGCGGAGTGGAGTGGGGGAGGCGAAGCAGACGACGAGGAGGACGAGGATGCGGAGGAGGAGGAGGAGGAGGAGGAGGAGAAGGAGGAGGAGGAGGAGGAGGAGGAGGAGGGGGAAGGTAAGGGGAAGCGCCAGAATCAGGCATGACATTCATATCTCACCAACGGTTGTCATTCACAGCACAAGCCATTGAACTCGAAGGGTGCACGCGCTATTTGCGAATTTTGGTATGCGAGAGGTCAATGAGTGGTGGGGCGTGAGACTACGTGTCAGAATCACTTAGAAGTGGCGGGCTCTGCGAGAACCGCGCGTGTGAGAAGGGGCAGGGGCTTTCAAGACGCGGCTGGGGGCCATGCGATAACAGCAGAAGTATCAGTGGGACCAGCGGTGAGGCATGTGGGCGAAAAAGGTTGCGAACCTGTGAAACGTTAGAACGCCTCGGCCCGTCGGGATTTCAGTGGCAGGAGACAGATTGGGGCGGGGCCCCTCAAGGGCTGGACGGTACCCCGATCTGACAGAGGGGTGTGAAGGGAGCGTCGACCAGCGTGGTTCGGATGCAACTCCTGGGAGGTCAAATTCTGATTTTGCCCTGGTCCGAAATCTGGCTTAATCCCGCTTAGTCCCTCTCAATCCGGCTTAATCCCGCTTGATCCCGCCTGATCCGGCTTAATCCGAGGCCCCCTTCCGGCTCTGGACGCCCGAAATGGGTACCGAAAGAATGGGTACTATGCCCAACAGCAGTTTCTGTTCAATTTGAACAGGATCCGCTGTCCGCGCCGCCGCGGCCTGTGTCCATTCGAGACAGGAGGCCGCCTGCCCAACAGCGGCCGCTGTTGGTTTGGGACAACATTTGCTGTTGGGCATCGTACCCATTCTTTCGGTGCCCATGTCGGGCGTCCAAACCGGCGTGACAGCCCCCCGACGTGGCTTGATCTTCCCGAAATCCTTCCGACGAGAGCCTCCCAGCAGTTGCCTCCCAAGCCGCGACGCGGCGCGGGGCGGCCGCTCGACGAACAGCGGGGATGCCCAGCCAGCTCGCGGGGCAACGACGAGGCGGCGACGGGCGGCCTTCGGACGAACATCCGGCGCACACGTGGATCGTTTCTACTTACGGTAGGTTCGCGTCGTGTCGACCAGCGGCGACCCCAGCGCGGGCGTTCAAGGTTGAACGCCGCTGGCGACCCAGAATCGATCGATGTTGAACGATCGGACGTTGCGGCAGCGGCCGATCGTTCAAGGTTGAACGATCCCTGCGGTGTCAAAAACCAACGCTGGGGTCGGCACGGCACGAACCTGCCGTATTCGGGAGTGATTTTTTATTTTTTGTGGGGCCAAAAGATCCTTTCACTTCTAATTGTTCTATCCTGGGCCTCTTCCTGGGTGCCGATGATTTAGGGTGTCTTGTCTTAGCCGATGGTCCTTGGAGGCCGTGCGGCAAACTAAGTATTGGGACGAACAGCTCGAGACTGTTGCTGCGAACCCCCTGAACCCTGAACCTCAGGCAGCACATGATGCTGATGATAGTGGGGTGCTGCTGTTGGTTGGTACCAGTGTCAAGGAATACGACGACCAGAAGCATCTCATCCGTTGCCGTACATTGTAAACAGAACAGGTGCGTTCGATCGTGGCCGTGCCCGCAGCCGAGAGCGCGCTGTGCTATTAGAGGCTGGCTTGTAATAAACATAGCTCACCTCCCACAGGATAGCGTTGCACTTCTGGCTGCTCTGACTGGTCGCTTCGGGAACGGTCACAAACAGATCACGTCCGAAGCGGAAACACCTCATCACGCGAACCCTTGTTTCAAGCTCCGGGGCATTTTTTTTTCGGTATCCGGTCGAGTGAAATCAAGTGCTCGGGACGTCCTGGAGCGTCGGGGCTGGTTTGGATTATTCGTGTCGGGTGCGCATCTCTTTCGGCCTCCACTGGATCTTCAGTGGCGCAGTGCTTCTGTGCCTCAGCCACACGTCAGCATAACGACTGGGCCTGATTCTTATGTGTGCGCTTGACCTGTTGGAGGCGACGGGCTGCTGGTGCAAGTGCGCATGCCGTACATGACTCCAGTTCAAATATCATCAACCACCTCATCATAAAACTCTTGGTCGGTGGACACAGGCAGCTGTATGACATCATTGCTCGTGGTGTGCGCCGTGCTTCTCAAGTATGGGTGCTGTCCGCCGTCTGTTGGGGGCTCGAGCGAAGACGGACCCTCCGAGTTGCCCTGGGCGGGATGGCCCGACGATTTCGGGGTGCGCCAAACTTCAGGTCCCAGCTTCTCTTGTGTGCCCGCTTCACTGCACACCATCTGTTTTCACATCTCTTCCTGCTCTTCACAATCAGATTTGTGAGCACTTCCCCCCGACGGGATGTTCGCTGATCTTCAGAATTGTCTGTCTCGAAGGTAGACAAGCTGACGGCGGCGTCTGCCAAGCAGAGGGCAGTCGGTTCGACGAGCATGGATCTAGACATGAGGGAGTTGGCCATCAACACAGCCAAAAGCGAGGTCGGCCTCTACGGGTCCCGCAGGAGCATCCAGGGCGCCATGTGTCAGGTGGCAGTCGTGGCTGCGGTTCGCCCGAATTTCGAGCCGATCAAGAAAGGCACTGTGGGGAAAACACCAAAAAAACAACACACACACACAAGCAGTGTGGGAAACCAACAAAAAACACAAGCAGTGTGTGTGTGTGTGTGCGTGTGTTTTCCCCCACTGTTTTTTTTTTCCCCCAAGCAGTACGACACCGAGAGGATGGCGGCCACGGCTCCTGGGCAGGCGGCGGCGCCCAGCCTTCGTGCCTGGGCCGAACTGCTCAACTCCGCAAGCAGCAGGGGCGGATGCTGACCCTCGAGCTCAGGCCGACAGCGAGGTGAGCAGGGGCCACGTCACCACTTGTTTCCAGGGGCATTTCGGCAGACGTCGTGGGCGACAAGGATCGTTTCAATATTGATCAGCTGGTCATCCCAAGGACCCAAGGATTCGACCTATGACCGACGAGATCATGGCCGCGGTCGCGCTCAAACCAGAGGTCGAGCTCAAACGAGTGGCTCCAAGCCGTAACCCAGACATCCCGACAGGTCGTGCAGGGAATCGGGGATGGGGGAGCTTCAGAAACCGCAGCAGTCAAGTCAAAAGTAAGTAATGTTCGCCATGCCGGCGTTCAAACACATAGACGCGAGGGGGACTCATCGGTTGGAGTTGTACACCCTTGACGTCAAGAGGCTCCTGAGATTCATCTGAAAGGCCTTTCAGCTAGTCCGCCTGTGCTGACTTCGGAGGACCGTGTTTCTCCAAATGAAGTTGCTAAGCAATTGTGCCGAGGTGTATAGTCACGTAGTGGAGTTTGTTTTTTGTTTGCAGCAGGGGGCAACGCTCGGGCTTCTGGATGCACCCTGTTGGCTTGACGACGGTGGGGGGCCGTTTTCCTTCTAGAGCCGTCCCTAAGCCAGTGCGGGGGCCAGTGCTCCGTGACCATTTTCGCTTCTCACAGCTTGGGCCACAAGGAGTGCGCAGTGCCTCCCGCGGGCTTGTAAAGGGGCCTCAGCAGCATATGCTTCGCGACCGTGATTCCAGCTCGCCATGCGCTCTTTCGATGGGAGTCGGCGTGGGGAGGGCAGGGAGCCTTATCAGGCTTGGAAAAAAGACTCGTCGTCACCATCACCATCACCATCATCATCATCATCATCATCATCATCATCATCATCATCATCATCATCATCACCAGCATCATCATCATCACCATCACCATCACCATCACCATCATCATCATCATCATCATCATCATCATCATCATCAGCATCATCATTCTCATCTTCATAATTCGAATCACCATCAGCATCATCATCATCATCATCATCATCATCATCATCATCATCATCATCATCATCGTCACCATCATGGCCAGCATCAGCACCACCACCATCGCCATTATTTGCATTATCGTCATCATCGCCATCATCATCGCATCGTGCTGGACGCCTGTCCGGCAAGCTTTAGGCTCAGCACTTCTGCATATTTGGTCAGTTCTTTGGGATGGTTGGGTGGGGGATAGGGGGAGGGGAAATTGGGTGGAAACAGGGAAGTGATAATGGGGCAAGGATCGGGTGTTGCCCAATGGGCCCCTGGGCCAGAATGGCCCAACAATTTCCGGGGTGACCCTGGTGGACCGAGACGCCACCCACGGGGCGCAGAAAAGCCCAGAGTGGACACACCATTAAGGGCACCGCGGGCCAGGGGCACACATGTCAGCGCCCAAAGCGGGGATGGGGGGAGGGGGACTGGCCCTTTCTTCCCCGCCCTTCGGACCGAGCCTCCCTTGCCCAGGGGCTGGAAGGTGTCCGAGAACATCTGCACCTACGAGCTACGACAGAACTCCGCCATCTTCGCGGGCAGCTCCGTGATGGTGCGCATCACCGTCAACAACCCGACGGAGGTGCGGATTGTCGTTGTCGTCATCTACGCCCCTTCTTTCTCTATCTACAGGTGCTGAGGACAATTTGCCAGTATCCTTCCAGTGCCCTCCCTGCGCCATGTGCCCCCGGCGCACATCGCGCCGCCACGTACCTCCAAGCACGGTGCACCCACAGAAGAGGCCCGCATGCAAACCTCTGGCGCCAGATTTGGCGCCTCATTCACGATTCGTTGTCGGCCCCACGAGCTCTCGACCTCGTCAAGGTGTTGGCTCACTCGGGCCGTGAACCCGCGGGCCTCCAGGGCCCTGAGAGGCTCGACGTCCTCGGGGACGCTCAGGCCGACAAGGAGGCCAAGGCTGGCGATGGACGATATCCCGCCTTGGCTCAGGAAAGTCTGGAGCGAGCGCTCCGCTGATGTCTGTAATGTGTGCAAGTTAATGGCCTGCGTGACCATGCGTGCTGGCACCTTCCAGGACACCACTGGCAGAGAGAATCGGGGATCTGGGGCTCGCGAGACGCGTCGTGCTCGCGCGTGGGGCTCGCGAGACGCGTCGTGCTCGCGCGAGGTCGGGTCCTCCTCACGGCTCCTCCCCGCACCTCCTCAGATGGGAAAGGAACGCTTGGAGGTGTCAGAATATGGGCTGCGGCAGGCGCGCTTTCTGCCATCGGAGCAAATGACAGCTGCTCAAGACCGCTTGCCGCAATGCCCCTGCCAGAGACTCACGTTTCCAGCCTCCAGAAGGTGCCGGGGGTCACCGCTGCGCCCGCGCGTCTTTCTTCGTGCTGGAAGCTGCCTGCTCTGTGGCAGTTGCGGGGCTTCTTCGAGTGGGAGGACCCAGGGCAGTTTGTTGGCCTGCGACGGGGAGCCTGCACCAAGCTCGCAGGCACGCTATGCATCGCAGGGGGAAGCTCTTGCGTGGCGGGCACCCCGACACGGGGGGCCTCTCTTTGCGACGGACCTGCCGAGTCGCTCTCGCCAGGCAAAGCGGCCGAGGTCCGCGCCGTACTGCTCAGCGCTGGTTTGCCAACGGGGGGGGGAAAGTGGCAGGAGGCGCCACCCCGTCAGGCAACCAGCGCGCCACATACTCAGGCCTCGGTTAGCAGCAGACTGCAGCCAGGGGAGATCAGGAAGAAGCTCCTCCTCCTCCTCCTCCTCCTCCTCTTCCTTTTCTTCCTGCTCCTCCTCCTTTTCTTCCTCCTCCTCCTGCTCCTCCTGCTCCTCCTACTCCTCTTCCTCATCCTCCTACTCCTCTTCCTCATCCTCCTCCTCCTCCTCCTCCTCCTCCTACCTTTCCTCCTCCTACCCCTCATCCTCCGCCTCCTCCTCCTCCTCCTCGTTCTCCCCCTCCTTCTCCTCCTCCTCCTCCTCCTCCTTCTCCTTCTCCTTCTCCTTCTCCTTCTCCTTCTCCACCTCCTTTTCCCCCTCCGAAAAGGATGAAGCCATGAGTTAATTCAATTTCAACTCCAGAGTTGATTCGCTTCAGAGTGGATCATGCTACCAGCTTTCCAGTGGATTAATTCCGGAGTTTATCCACGGGGGAGCGGATCCATAAGCCAGCCTCCTCTTCCCGAATCAACTCTGGAGTTAAGATGCGAGAGAAGAGTGGATCCTGGCCCCTTGGGCCCCGCGAGTTAACTCCAGAGTTAATCCACGCAGGAGGTGTGGATCAGAGGCCGCGGGAGGCCGCCCTGGGCCCCGTGAGTTAACTCCAAAGTTAATCCACGGAGGAGGGGTGGATCAGAGGCCGCCTGGGGCGCTTCCAGGCGGCCTCTGAGAGGTGCCCCAGGAGGCTACCCAAATGCGCCCCAGGATGCTTCCGAGAGGCCACTTCGGCGGAGGGGTGGGGCCTTTAACAATCGCTGGACACCAAAGAAGTGGCGCCCTGTCAAGCACTCTGGCAGGATCGTCTCGTGGAACGCTATAGATGCCTTGCATGCGTCAATCCTGTGCGTCGCCGTGTGAAGTTCATCAGGCTGTTGTACCCGCGTTCAGAGACCGTGCAGCTGTCTTGGCCCATGAAGCCCATGGCATCACGGACCAACTCCAGGTCCTCCTTGCTGGCACGCCCTTCCACTACAAGCTCTTCCACTCCGCGACCAGCAGACTTGTTGCTGATAGCCCGTTCGAGACATTCGAGCGCGGTCTGCCTCCCTCTGTTGAGCGCCCCTTTCTTACATTTGAGGTTATCGTTCCTGGTCGTGTTCAGCTACTCCAGTTTACTCATCCGCGCCCGCAGTTTTCCATGGCCATCAGGAACGCTCGCAACTACGATCTCTCTTTATGAAGCTCTTCTTGCCATTCGAGCCCGTTGGCATCAGCTCCTTGACTTGTGCCGCCCGGGCCCTCTCATGAACATCTTCGTCTCGCTTGGCGATTTCAATCTCGCGGGCACCGCCCCGACCAGCTACGATAATCCTGGGCCTGTCGCTGCCAGACTTGCTCTCGGAACGCATGTGTCACCGCTCTCGCGCTTCTGGCGCCCGCTGATGCTGGCTGCCACCGAGGTCTCTGCGGACCCACCCACTGATGTCGCCTTGGGCCGTGTCTTCATGGGCACCCCCACGGGATTCATGATCGAGGTTGATGAAGTGATGCAGATTCACACTGGATCATGCCAGTTGCCTGACGCCCGTTTGCGTGACCACGCGTCGGTTTTGCTTTCGTTTCAGCATCGTGGTTGCGGGCCGGAGTCTGAACTTCGCACTCCTGATTGCAGTTTTACGGACTTTTGATCTCGTGACAACCTCGAAGATCTCATCCGTGCTGCTGACATCTCCCATCTCACCACCCACCAAACCACCCCAACCCAACCCGAAGGCTCAGATTTACACTCGATTTCCAGTTGGGGGGGGTCCGGGAACATCGAAAAAACACATATGAAGCCCGTACCCCCCCCAACCCGAAATTCGGGTCTTCGGGTTGGGTTGGGGTGGTCTGGTAGGTAGTCACCATCTGCCTGCCGAGTTGCGCTGGAACTCCTGGAAGCCACACCTGTGGGAAGCGGCAGGGGAGACCGGCAACGAGCTGCGGGGGCTTCTCCTCGCCTCGCGTGACTCGACTGCTGCCGAAGCCCGCCTCGTCCGCCTTCGTGCCGTCGCCGGAGCGGCGTGGTGGCAAGACATTCGGGGGAGCGTAAGACCCGGGTTTGCCGGGACTCGGGTTCGCCATCGTTTTTTGACGACCGCGACTCGGATTTTGACGAGGAGGAGTTTTGTGGGATGTCTGCAGCGGGAGGCCTCGTCAAAATGCAGGCTCGGCCTCGTCATTTTTTTGACGACCTAGTCGGGGATTTCCGAGTCCCCCGTACCCTCCGGATGCAACTCCTGGGAGGTTAAATTCTGACTTTGCCCTGGTCCGAAAACCGGCTTAATCCGGCTTAATCCCGCTCAATCCGGCTCAATCCCGCTCAATCCCGCTTGATCCGGCTTAATCCTGCTTAGTCTGAGGCCCATTCCGGCGT